AGACAAAAACTTCCAGCGTGGTGCAAGAGGTTGGAACATAGCGCGGCCAGAGAGCTTCGAGTTGAAGCACAATATTGGACACGATCTTAACTTTGCCCCCCAAAAAGGATAAAAACGATTCAAAAAGGACATGGTTGTTGGAGGGGTCAATGACCTTTACGGTAAGAGCAAGAGCAGGCCCGGAGAAGCAAGTCAAATTTAGATAATAATCCTTCTGAACCCCCAAGAAAAAACAGGGTTGCACACAATGACAGGCATGTAAAGGGCACAAAGGTAGAAAAACGCGCTTTTGTATACATGCAACACAATCTACAGCCAGACATATCCTCCACAAAGGTAGAAAAACTTCGTTGATGCCGTGATGCCCATTAATTGTCTATAGCCAACTATTGCACTGCTAGCGCCATACCTCCTCACGGGCTGCTTTTCGAGAAACGATGGCCAGCGCGTGCGCAGCGCGCTGGGCGCAACAAGACTATATTTATTGAAGGACACCGCCAGTATTTTTACAGTCCGTTTTTGCAAAGCTGTCATAGTTTGATGGCAATGGTAAATGCACGAGCGCGTTCGCAGCGCGCTGGGCTAAACAAGACACAACAGTAACGTATTGAAGGACACAGCCAATTTTTTGTACAGTCCGTTTTTGCAAAGCAGTCATAGCTTGATGGCATTGGTGAATGCACGAGCGCGTCCGCAGCGCGTCCGCAGTAGTTTTGCAGTTGGTGTATAAGAGAGCAGTTATATTTCAATTTGATGGCATTGGTGAATGCACGAGCGTGTCCGCAGCGCGTCCGCGCAGCGCGCTCGCAGCGCGGTGCGCTTAACAAGACTTTTGTTTATGATTGTTTATGTATTCAAGGACACAGCCAGTATATATACAGTTTGTGCATACAAAGCAATCATAAAATTTGATCGCATTGGTGAATGCACGAGCGCGTCCGCAGCACGTCCGCAGAGCGTTTGGACACGAAAATAGCGTAAACATGAACTTTCCTGATTCGATGCAAATAGCGCAACCCTAAGCAGGCCACGCATAGAGCGCCGGAGCCAAGTCCACATAATAATTTTCCTTTTTCAAGGCTGGCCTTCAAGCGCTCCACCGACCCCCCCTCCTCTGCCTTCTTAACCCGGACCCGTTTAAGCTTTATTTGCTGTTCCTTGTTTCTGGGGCTTTGCTATGCATCCAGGGCTTTGACTAACATGCCATGAAAAGCATGCTTGGGTGATTGCACCAACATGCTTCAACATGCTTGAGTGATTGCATCAACATGCTTCAACATGCTTGAGTGATTGCATCAACATGCTTGAGCTCTTGAATCAACATGCTTGAGGGATAGCATCAGCATGCTTGAGTGATTGCACTAATATACCAACTTGAGCCATTGTGTTGCTCACGCAGTCAGTGTTAAAACTTCCACCCAAATATTATTGTGTAAGTGTCACACGTTTTGTCAAATGTTTTGTCCACGTTTTGAAGACGACGTCATACCTGCTCGGAGCCCGCCCGTCCATCCATTTTTCTGCGCAGGTGTAGAGTTTGGGCGAGTTCATCCCACATTCACTTGACAGTTAGGAGGGTTTTGGGTTGTACTTTCTTAATTGTTTTGCCACTGTGGGATGCAAACTGAATTGCTGCGTTTGAGAGTCGCGAGAAACAGATAAAAACAACAATAGGTTAAACACTGTTTTTATATCACAGATTGCAGAAGGCCTGTGAAATATCCATTCCAAAACTTCCTTGAGGCGACTCAAGCGAATTGAGTCCATTGAGGGCCATCCCTCAAAGCTCCAAGCCCCAACCGGTTTTCAGCTCACTGCAGCCAATGACCTGCAGACCAGACCGGCTCAATAGTTCAATATCCAGAGGTGTTCAAACAACTTCCCGCACAATAGACACGCCACATACATAGGAGGCGCCTCACTCAACATCCTCTGGATCAGAAGCAGCTTCATCTTCGCTCTCCCCTTGTTCACAGGGAAGGTCCGTGAACTCCTCCTCATCTTGCTTCACATCACCCTCAGCATTCTGCGCCAGGATGGCCTTGATCATGTCATCCTCAGAAATATACAATTCATACAGTAGCTAGTTTTTTTACAATGACCATTTTCCACTTACACTTCATGAGGCGCACCACGAAACAAACACCGATAGTGCAAGTTTGTTTCAAGGTACCCGCAACTGGGAACCAGCAGCTAGATCACCGCGGGTGCGGACAAGTTCTTCCCTCACGGCGACCTGATAGGTTGCTTTAAACCACCACCAAAAGAAGAGAGTATGGCTTGACCCAAAATGAGAACATATAATGACGACCCGATTCTTCACAAAAAGCATGCCTCCCACTGAGCGTCCGTTGGTTTTTTCTTCAGCCAGAAATGTTTTGCAAATTGCCGGTGAGTCTGCAGCGTTTTGTGAATAATGACGACCCGATTCTTCACAAACCAGCCCTGTAATTTCATTATATCCTTTGTGAATGAAGACTTCACAAACAGCTATCCCAATTCCAGGAACTCTTCACAAACCAGACCCACCGGCTCTTACCCCAGGATTTCCCGGCGCTCACTTGCGAGAGATACCATTGAAGACCGATCCATCAAAAAAACCATTTGACTAGTCCTTCGTTTCCACTTTATATACCAATATGATCAAAGTGGGTGGGTCTTCAAAATCTGATGTGTCACCCCTACACCAGAAACTACACAACACTCAAAGCTTCATGAACAATTTGCAGCGCTCGCTGCATAGGCAATCCTTCTGCCCACAACCGAGCAGCAGATCTATACAAGGATTGTTTTTCCTTTCCGACTCATAGCGACGGGCATCCTCTTTGGTTGGCCCTTCTCGAGCCATCTTCAGGGCATTGGGTGCCTCAAAACTGACGCTGAAGATCTGCAAACCAGTGAGAGTGACTGAGCAACCACACCGCTTCAAGATCTTCTCCTTTGAATGCCGGAAGCGCTGGAGGTCCAAGAGATGCTCCAAGATATGGAAGGGCCCTCAGCCAAGGGTCGTGCGAGTGGGGAAATCTCGAAGAGCGGTTTCTTTGGGGCTAAGACCAATCCACTTTAAGAAGAGGGGAGGGAGGTGCAACTCCATCAGCAAACTGTTCCAAAGCGTGGACTGCCTCGAACATGTCGAAAGGATGTTCACCTTAAGTCAAGAGATCGATGGAACGGATTGTTGAGAAATATCTTGAAGCAGGCACATTGATCTTGAGCAATTCCAGCCATCCTTCGTTTTTTTTGAGGCTTGGGCGCATCATGCGCGCATACTTTCTGAAGGCAACCGATTCTTCAGAGGCCGGGTTGGTCCGCTTCTCAAGGAAGACTGGCAAAGGGCACTCAGTGAGCTTCAACCATAGTGTCAAAGTGAAGATGTAATGGAACGAATGTTCAGTGTGCCTCTTGTTTGTGGCAAGACTTGTGAAGTGTTTAGCGAACTGAATGCAGGAAGTGAACTCTGCAGATCAGGCTAAATGAAAAAGGAGTGTGTAGATTGCAGCGCATATATATATATAGATTACATGTCAAGTTGCTTTGCAGCTTTGAGCCAACTCCTATTATTGCAAGACGCCCTGAAGTGAAGAACTGCAGACTTACGCATTAAAATGTTGTGAAAAATTGCGCTCACAAAATTAAACAAGCCAGCTTTGCTCCCACACGGGTGGTTGGACTCTGTCAAAAATGGCTTCGGTCGAGAACTGAAATTAAACAGCTCAAATGATCTTCTTCAAAAGCATGACCAAAGAGAGCCTAAGAGTCCATTGCTACAAACGACTGTTACAGGCTCGCGCGGACCTGCCACACAGGTGGCACACACGAGTCGTTCCAAGCTGCCCAAGTGAATTTCCTGCACAGTTTCCTGCACCTAATATTGCATTCATTTCCTTGTTCAAGGGTGTTGCAAAAGGATTTGCATGGCATAAAATGCCATCAAGGGGACAACAACGTTGCCAACCGCATTGATACGGTCCTGATTACTGGACACCCTTTTGGGTGACAGCCAGCTGTGCATTGGCGGCTTCTTTGAGCCACGCATCCATGCCTTTGTAGGCAATGCCTTCAATTGCCCAGTTGTCCAGAATCGAGTGGTCGCCTGACAAAATAGCACCCAATGAAGTAGATTCAAACCAATATTGGGGTTGCCTCAAATTCAAAGTCCAATCGCCTGATCACAATGAAGACTCTCTGCCGCCATATCTCAGTCCAAACATACACATCAGACCTGTACCAAAAAGTTGACTGTCAAAACTATCCACTCGCCACAACTCATGCCCGAGAGAGAGAGAGAGAGAGATCTGTGTCCCTGACAGGGGCACCAATGGCATGCCCGTCCACACAGCACTAGCGCAGTCAGTGATGTCTTTCATGGCCTCTGAGAGCAGTCCACCGACGTTTTCCATCAGCATAAATTTCCTTGGGCGACAAACACTGGTCAACAAATTGGGAGGGGCTGCCATCGCTCCACACCAACTCCGACAAGACTCCAGGGGTTTGGTGAACTGTCCCAAAGCTTGAAAAAATGCTTCAGAAGGCCGGTTCGGTTGTCGAGTAGTCCTAGGCGAGCACCCGCGCGGCTTGAGCCCTGGCAGGCCGGATGAAAAATGTAGAGACCGCTTCATAGTAAAGTCAGCGTGTCCCACAAGTAGCAAAATAAAACCTTCAAGCTAGCCTGGCAAGGGAAGCCGCCAACCAGTCCATTTGCTGGCTCACTGCACATGTTCCAGTCCCAGCACACCACATCCGGTGAAACCGGTGCTGGATCAGCTAGGCCTTCTTCGGCGCGCTGCGATATCAAGTCCTGGCAATACTGGGACTTCTCAACCTAGGTGGCAGTGGATTGATAATGACAAAGCATGTTGAATTGTGTTGAATTGACATTCACTACTTGATCTCCAGTTCATCCAAAAAAAGTCAACCGCTAAGCTCTTTGCATAGTGAATCACCTGGGTGTACCTTGGCACATGCGTGCATCGGAGTGCGCAGTAAACTTAACTTATTTGTTTTTGAAAAGGCCTGATCTGCAGAATCCAGGGGGACCTTTGAGATCCAAACGGTCGAAGGCCGATGTCAAGGCCAAGGATGCCGCTAAACAGGCTGACCACTTTGTAGCGGTTGGGCTGGCGAGAGATCAAGGCAATGATATTCAAGCCTGTAACCTATATGTAGTGCATTTAGCAGCTTAGAGATCTCTATACTACATACTGTCGACTGTTGAAATGCACAACCCCCACCTGCAAGTTGCACAAAAATGGGTAGATGGTCTCCAAATCATTTTTCATTGATCCGGATGCCGAGCACGTCCAGCCCTGAGGAAGGCCTTCAGGAAAGCAGGGGATCCCTAAAAGTGATGAGGTGCAGGAGCCCCGCACCCGGTGCCATACAGCTTGGACCAGTAGACTTGGGTAGCAAAATCCTGCAAGGTAGCTGAATTCATGTTTTGGGTTGAGAAACCAACCACTTGCTTGCAGATCAAAAGCAAAGCCACAGTCCCGCGACCCTCGGACGCTTAAGTACCGAGTGTTTGCTTTCTGGGTCGCCCCAATACCCCTGCAGCGCAGGAGAGATTTGAGAGGAAGCTGAAGCATTAGGCAGTGGCTGGGGTCACGGCTGACGGTTCCCCATGAGCGAACAGTCATGGGTGCTGTGGCAAGAGCACCTTTCTTTGTGAGCGGTCCCTTCCCCGGCTTCTTGGGTGGAACCTGAGCGTTGACATTGGATGATCTATTGAAAAAAGTAAAGTCACTTGTTGAGTTTGCTTTCAAGCAGCTAGGAGAATGTTCGGTGTTTCATACTTGTCTTGTGGCAGAAACCAAGGTCGGTAAGTCGTGAAAACTCCTTTCCTGAACCATCCATAGTGTGGCATCTTGGCCTGACACATGATGCTTCAAGTCTCAAACAGGTTTTGAGATGCTTTCACACACTGTGAAGGCACGCCTTCGGCAAAGGAAGGGATGTGCCCACTGAATCATCATCGCCCACCATCCTGGGAGCAAATGGGGCTCACTATGAACGGGCATGCATCCGGCTTCAATTCAAGCAACACATCCCAGAGAGTATAGTTAGGCCCCCCACTCATCGTCTGAAAGGCAGTCCACGTGAGCAAGTGGCATGACGCGCTTCTACGACCTAATCACCTATATGCAACCCTCTACCTCGCTGTAAACCCCATCATCAGGATTCACACCTCAAGGAACTACAGGTCAATGTTGTTGCATCCACTTCTCAAGCGAAGATGGGAACTCTTTTCTCACCAAGCCCCAGAGCAGGCTCCGCTTTGTGCCAACTGATGTGCACGCAGGTCTTTGGAAAGACTGTGAGAGGCGATGCTGTAGGATAAGTCTCACGCACATCAAACACACGAGCACTCACAATGCTCAATCCCCTAATTGAAATGCATCCCTACAAACAGGTCAGGCCAATCACTGTATTCTCATAGACTTGATTTAGGTATATTGAGGTTATTTTGGTGGCATAGTTTAAGATATGTGAAACATCTAGAAAGCATGTCACATGGCCTTTCTTGTAAGGGTGGAACGGCCCTAATTTGCACATTAGCCCGAAGACGCTGAAGAAGGACTGTCAACTCCAGAGTCTTCAAGCATCACAGTTGAAAGAAACGAGAAATCAGTCAGGTCACCTTCTTTGTCTTCCACAGAGTTTAACGCTTGGGCTATTGCTCCCATGGCCTTCATCAAGACCTGCTGAGGGTTCTGCGGCGCTTTCTCGTTCGTCAAAAAGATACCAACCTTGATTGGGGTTGATCATGGTTTAAACAAGGATGTAAGCAAGCAAGGCTTGGCAATGGACACTCCTCGCCACTGTAGCTAGATACGCTCGTTCCTGTAGAAGTTCATCCTGGCAAAGCTTCAGGATACTCGTTCAAAGGAGCAGTGAAAACCAGGGGGCCAGACCAGTGGGGAAAGTTGGCATCGAAAGAGATTCCAGGCCACATCATTGGTACGATTCTGCTTAGTGCCTTGCCCTTCGATCTTCCTGGTCCTAAGTGAATCACACAATTATAGTTCTGTTGGGCCTGGGGTGGACACGGATCTGAGAAGCAAGCATTGGAGAGAGATCTAGAGCTGCGTTCTGCAGGTGCAGGGAAATAAACCAAACCGCAACAAAGACATGAATATGTTAAAAAGAGAGAAAGAGAGAACGAGAGAGAGAGAGAGAGTGTCCTTTCGGTAAAGCTGCGGTCGAGGGCTTCTAGATCTTGCAGCCTTGACCTCCACCAATGAAACTCCAAGTTTTGTTCCTAACCCCCCTCAGTCCAAATACAGAACCTGGCCTCCAACCTAATAGGGCACCACCACGAAGCACCACAAAAATGGCTGCAGAACACGAAAGCCACAACGACGGTACCCGTCCAAGGGCACCGCTTGAAAAGAATCAGGAAAACAACCCTCCAAATCTTATACGTTTTGTTTCTTCTGTTTAACGATGAAGTCAATAAAGAAACTTCCGAGTTACAGACACGCATGGCAGCAGGAAAGCTGCAACCACTCAAGTTTTGTATAGAATCATGGATGCAACACTCAAGATCAGTGTTGATGCAATCACTCAAAGGTGTTGACGCAGTCACTCAAGCTTGGACCCCTCAAGCATGTTGATGCAATTACTCAAGCATGTTGATGCAATCACCCAAGCATGCTTTTCATGGCATGTTAGTCAAAGCCCTGGATGCATAGCAAAGCCCCAGAAACAAGGAACAGCAAATCTTTCCGCTTTCGGGCCAAAACCGCATCTTTGAAATTGCGTAAGCATGGCCCGCTTAAGCCCAAACCCGCGTCTTTTAGCATCGAAATTGCATAAACATGGCCCGCTTAAGGACCAAACCCGCGTCTTTGAGCATCGAA